CCCTAAAACCTAATTTAGGTTAGTTTAGTTCGTAATTAATTATTTAACGTTAAATTAATTTAGTTTTATTTTATTTTTATTTTAATTTACTTACTATATTTTAGTTAAGTAAGTAGTAGGACGTATATATATATATATATATATATATATATATATATCAAATGTGAGGTGTTTCGTGACTAAGTAGCATTCAAGATCTCAGCCTTAAAGTTAGGCTTGGATAGACAATAAAGAGAAAAAGTTGGGTGCCATCAAGAAATTGGAGTAAACAAAGGGCAAGCTTTTTATGCTTCCCTACAGTATAAAACTTATATACTTTCCCTTATCCAACCATCCATTCTGAATGGAGGGCTAAGATTGCTCCAATCACAATGTCATGTCTCTACACTATTTTATTTTTAATTTTTTTCTATAAACTATTTTGATACCAAATTTTGGACATCCAATCCTCAATTAAACTCGCACTAGCGAAAAATATAAAAACAATATTTTCAATAAAATAAAATAACCAAAATACCCCTGAAAGATTCAAGGGGTATTTTGGTCATTATATTTTATTAGAAAATTATTTTTAATATTTTTTATAAGTGCGCTCCAATGAGAATATGTCATATACCAAATTCCATATTCATACAATTTGTATAAAAAAGTTAAAAATAAAATACTTTGAGACATCGGATCTAATATCAAACGGTAAGTGATTCTCTTGATCAAAATTGGACAGCTGGATGATAGGGAAAACATGTTCTTCTATGTTGTAGGGGAAGTATAGAAACCTTTCCCCATCCTAATTTTCTAAGGTGGGCAATGTAAAAGCTAAGGTGAATAAAAGTATAACATACAAGTATTGAATAGTCCACTGGCTATATGATCCATCATCTAGAAGTTCTACTAAAATTTTAAATTCCAATTTTTTTTATTGTAATTAGATATTTGTTAATTTTAGATTAAAATGCCTTAAGCAAGTCTTTTACCGTAAGTCTTAAATATACAACATGATCGAACCCACATTACAAAATAAACTTCCAAGCAATAAATATGGATGACGTTATTAAATGTCATAAAAGCTTTTCCTTCCTACTTATCCCTATAATTTAGCTAAAACACCAGCCTTTAAAATCATTTATGTTATTAATAAAATGTTTCATTAATTTTAATTTCATATGAATAAACACTTTATAAAATAGAAATTTGACTTGGATAATGAAACAAAAATTCTATTTTGAGGTTTTAATAAATGCATCAATATTTTATTTAAAGATAAAAAATTCATATAAAAGGCTAGATTTTTAATCAATCATAATTAAAATATGGAAAAAGTTTATATACGGATGCTACCTTATAATATAGAACTACATATGCCCCTCAAAAATCCATCAGAAAAAGTAGTTTTAATGTTGAAAAACCCTTTGATTGATCATCTCAACATCGAGATGTATGACTATGAAAAATAAAAAGATTTTAAGCCTCAGAAATAGTACATTTTACAACAAATTATCTACACCGTCCAATTTCAATATTTTCATATGTTTATAGATCTACTTGATTGTGACCATTTTTTAAATTTAAAATTTTATAATTAGATATAAAAATAGATTTTAAGATAATTCTAAGAACATTTTACATCAAAATTATATACCATGATAAAATTTGAAGGTGCACCTTACCTCTACACTTACGGATGCATCCGTATGCCAACTGCACCCTTAAAATATTATCATTTTATAAGCACTACTTTGAAATGCAAACTTCTTAAACTTTTAATTAATAAAGCAAACTTAGTTTACTATTGAGTATAAATTAAAATATGTAATAAGCTAACTTATTTATAATATTCAAAATCGTAAGAAATTACTGTTAATGTTATCTTTTTATTTTAATAACATTTAAAAAAATGTGCTTAACAATTTCTAGTTTTATGGATAGATCACATTCTATCTTGACTTTTTTTTCTTCTTCTCAAAATGTCATTGGTTCCGATTTACAAGTCCAAGGACTACTTATTTCAGAGACTACTAATTTCATTTTCATAAAACTTCTAAAATTTTCTAATTTTTGTGTTTGATAAATTAAGAAACATTTTTATAAAGGGCACGGTTTGTATGAGATTGGAGCCTGATTTGTAGAAATAAGGTTTACGACACTCTACATAATTATTTACAAGGTGGTTAAGTATCTACGACCGTATCTATCACATACAATTATTTGTGTTTTCTTGGGAATATTCTACGTCAATTGTATATATATATATATGAGAAATGATCATAGAGGACCCTCCCCCACCCAACCCTGTAAATAGCCATTAGATTTGTGTAGGAATCTCGATATCAAAATGGTGGCTTACCCTCTAACCGGCTTCCCATCAAGTTGCCGGTGTTTGCCTCTGCCTCTCTCTCTCTCTAAAGTAGTCTTTTGAAACTCTCGCTCACCTTTGTGAAATCTTTTCCCCTCTCTCCCACTCTCCTCTGTGAAAGAGAAATGCCCCAAACCTGCTGTCCCAAACTCTTTGCCCCAACTTGCTCTCTCCCGCTTTCCTCTATGAAAGCGAAATGCCCTAAACTTGCTCCCCAAACCCTACAAGGGTTACTTTCTCTCTCTTAAGTGCAAACAAAGGTAGCCCGTTCTCTTCTCTGCGGAACTCTCTGCCCCAAGCCCTAGCAGAGTTACCACAGCTGCAGAGGCCGTTTTATCTCATGCTAAAGTGGAAGATCTTGGTCTCTTTATTTCAAATTGGGGGCTCAATCCATTGCTAATTTTTTGCATCACAAGTTTTGGATGTTGTCTCTCTAGCAATAATTCGGTTTTTTCATTTGGCTTCTCGCTCTCTACTTGAATCTCTTTTTTTCAAATGAATCAATACAAGAGATGGAGTTCATTTTGCTTGATCCAGGTGGGAGATTTGGGGGATCGATTCATTGCCATTGGGTTTTTTTAAATTTAGTTTTTCTCTTGCTCTCTCTTTCTCTAAGTTAATCTCTATTTATCTCTACCTAAAAGAAATGATCTCTCTCTCTACAACAGATTTTATTTCGAAATTGTAGGCATTTTTCACCCTGGAAGACAAGAATTTCAATTTGCATTTAAGTTTTTTTTTTTCCTGAATTCTTTTTTCAAATTTCATAGGCAAAAGGATTTTTGCAGGAGTGTTTGAGCACGGGCGTGAGCATTTCCCCCCCCTCTCTCTCTCTTTCTTTCTCTAACTTTCTCTCTCTAATATGAGTGCTTCTCAATTTCTCTCTTCCCCATATGAGCATTTTTTCCATTGCCCTCTCCCTTTAACGCTCTTTGTCTCTCTGTTTCTATCTATCCCTACGGAGAAGGCAATGGCAATTTTTGGGTTACTTCCCCATAACACATTCAGGTGAAACACCCATCAAACCCCCTCCTGAAGAACCAAATCTAAAGAAGGAAAGCAAAATCCTATAAATCAACAAAACGTGGTTAATTAAGCTGGATTTTCTGCATTGATGTAGTTTTTGGGGTTTGACTTTCGTGGTTAATTAAGCTGGATTTTCTGCATTGATGTAGTTTTTGGGGTTTGAATTTTTCCTTGAGCACTGCTGATTACTTTCTCCAATCAATAATTTTTTTTCATTGCAATATATTATTGCCGTGATAAATTATTGCAAATTATCTCTTATTTCTGTTGATTTGCTTTGAAAATTTATTCTAAATTATGGGGATTTGCTAATTTGAAGCAATTGATGAGTTGGGATATTTATTCTCTTGAAATTTTCTTTGAGTATTGTTAATTATTTAATTGTTCTCTCTCTACATTATTCTTATCAAGGGTTTACTGTTCTTTCACTTTGTTAAATTAATGGTAGTATTTGATTATTACTATTGATTTTCTTTGGTAGTTTGACACTATACAATTAATTAGGCTATTGCTAAATTGAAGTAAATGATGGGCTGTTGATTATTTCCTTGAATTTTTCCATGAGCCATGTTGATTATTTCCTCTCTCTATCAGATTATCACACATGATGGGTCATTGCTATTTCTTTGACTTTTGAATTGAGAAACAGAGTTAGTGGTGTGCTAATTACTATTTAGCTCAACACTTTTGCTGCAAATTTTTTGATGCAATTTTTGGGTTTCTTGCCAATTTAATTTTGAATCTAATGATGTGCTATTGCAAATTTGAAGCAAATTATGAGATGTCGATGTTTGTAGTATCTAATCTATTTTTGTGATTTGATCCAGTAGTACTAGTTATGAAATGAATTTGATGCTATTTGTTTTGTTACAGGGAACTAGAAGAAGAGTGGTGGGTTAAATAGTTTCATACTTTGATTCTTTTTTTTTTCTTTTCTTCTTTTGGGTTTTTGGTAATTTGAAGTTAATAATGGACTGCTGCTAATTTGAATCAAATTATGAGCTGTTGTTATTTATTCCATTTATTTTTTCATAATTTGATCTTATTTATTGCTAATTTGCTAGTTTTCATATTTTTTTTTATGTTAATTATTTTGTTACAGGGATCTAGAGTGAAAGTGGAATTTGCCGATGCCACAATTGCTTGAAGTCCTTTGGATTTGATCAGTCGATCATTTATTTTGACATATTGGCAACCGCTGCTTCATTTTTTGTAGCCAAAGAGACTGCAAATTGTGTCCTTTTATCTGCGTTTAAGCACGAGAAGTTACAATGTCATAGGGAGATGATTGCTTTTGTATGTGCACGCCACAAGTAAGTTACCAAATATAAGAAAATGATTACATGAGAAAAAATAAGTTTGAGATCACATTCCCTGTAAATTGTTTTCATGGTAATTCAATTTCATATTAGCAATTTGTTTCACATTAGCAAATTATTTTTGCAGCTCAAATCATTTATCTTTTCAAGTATATGTATTTTTGTAGTTGAATTGATGGAGTTTGCCAATTGGTGATGATATTTTATTCTTAAAATGCAATTAGATGCAACCACAACATTTGTTCCTACCCTTTCGGATGGATCCCTTATATTTGTTGATTTGCCTTGAAAATTTATTGCAAATTATGGGGATTTGATATGTTGAAGCAATTGATGAGATGAGATATTTATTCTCTTGAAATTTTCCTTGAGTATTGTTAAACATGCTAATGCTTCTTTTCTGTCTATCCTCTCATTAGCAATGCTTTTTACTTTATATCATGATCGAACATGGAGCTCTTTTTGTTTTTTCTCTCAAATTAGACTATAAGTGCATCCTTTAATATATTTTTATTCTCAATTTTAGCTCTTTTTTTCATCTAGTGACATGTATTAAATCACTTTCATGGAGCCCTTGTCGTCCATACCTTTTGATATTGATTTTTTTTCCTTTTCTATATCGAACTTATTATTATTGTGGTGGTATAGAATATGATACATGATACATGATAAGTCATTTTTGTCATTCTCATTCCATGCTGCTAAGCTGGAAAGAGACACCAACAAGTTATAAGGTTTCCTCCTTACCATGGAGGCAACCATTGAGGATCATTCCTTATGGTATGGTGCCAATGCGGAAGAAATCTATAGTTCTATCAAGGTAATTAGTGCTTCAGAATTGGTTATTTTTTTGTTCATGTTGAAATTTGACCAATCTTGTTTTTGCTTGTGTTGAAGTTTGACCAATCATTTGAATGGCAACAAGCATCTGTGAAAAGTGTACATGAACTAGTGGAATTACATGCAAAAGGGAGCAGTAATGATGGTTCTAAGGAGTTTGGTGTTATAAACAGTTGCAGTGAGGAAGATGAAAATGCAAGATTGGGAAGCTATCCAAATTAAGGAAATATTGCTTGTAAACCATTTGTGGGTATGGAATTTCCATCTGAGGAAGAAGAAAAATTATTCTATGATGAATATGCGAGGCAAAGGGGATTCAGCATGCGCATGGGAAATACAAAAAAATCACAACATGAAGGGGTCGTGTGCGCTCGTAAATTCTATGTTCAAGAGAAAGACAGTTGATAGTGGAAAACCTACTCGGAAGGTACCACACACAAGAGTTGGTTACAAAGCAATGATGAAAATATATAAGAAATGTATTAACAAGTGGGTTGTTACACGATTCAACAAGGATCACAATCATGTATTTGTGAGCTCAAGTAAGGTCTCCAATCGCATCGGGTTGTTTTTTAATGTAAGAGAAGTATTATTGATACTTTTCATAAAGACAAGATTCCTACTAATAAGATTATGAATGTCTTTAGAGTAGAGTCTGGTATAGAATGTAATTTAGGCCTAATGGATCGTGATTGCAGAAATAAGCTTAGAATGCTTAAAAAGAAAATCCCTAACAATAATGCTCAATTGCTCTTAAATTATTTAAAGCGCATGCAAAGTGAAAATCCTTCATTCTTTTTATGCAATTGATGTACTGATGATGGCCATTCAGCATATATTTTTTTGATTGATGCTAGTTCAAGGCATGCATATCAATGTTTTGGGGATGTGGTGAGTTTGGATACAACCTATAAAACAAATAGGTTTAAAATGCATTTTGTCCCATTTACGGGAATCAACCACCATACAAGTTCTACTTTATTTGGCTGTGCACTTGTGAGAGATGAAACCAAATCGTCATTTATTTGGATATTTGAGACATTGCTTTCAATAATAAATGGTAAACATCCAATTATAATAATCATCGACCACGACAAGGTCAAGCAAGGAGCTATTGCTCGTGTATTCCCAAACAGTGTCCACAGGTTTTGCAGATGGCACATCTTAAAAAAAGTCAACGATAAATTGGGTAGCATTTGCGAAAACATCCTACTTTTGTTAGGAAGTTCCTTAATTGTATTAATTGGATCGAAATAATTGAAGAGTTTGAGAGTTCATGGAGATCAATTATTGATAAGTATGAGCTAAAGGAAAACAACTGGTTAGCATCATTATATGATATTCGACAAAAATGGATACCAATCTATTTGCATGGTACATTCTTTGCAAATTGCTCTACTACCCAGCGAAGTAAAAGTATGAACCATATTTTTCACGGGTTTTTTAACTCTCAAACTACCCTGCAAGAATTTGTTCTTAAATATGAAGAGGCCCTTGATCACCGGTACAATGATGAATCCTATTTAGATCATGTCACCTCTTACTCTACACCAACTTTGAACACAAGACTGCCTATAGAGAAACAAGCAGTAGATGCTTATACCAGGACAATGTTCCTTAAGTGTCAAAAGGAACTAGATGAAGTGATATCAATTGTGGTAAAGAAAATTGAGGAAGATGGCTTCATCAACACATACAAGTTTACAACATATGAAAAAATAACAAAAAATATATAGTTGTATTTGATGCCTCTAAAATCGAAGCAACTTGTAGCTGTAAAATGTTTGAGTTTTCCAAGTTTCTTTGTAAACATATATTAGCAGTTTTCCATCATGAGCATGTTCAAGAAATTCCATCCCAATACATTTTGAAGCGATGGACAAGGAATGCCAAGAAAGGGATTGTAGTAAATGAGCATAGAAAAGGAGCAATGGAAAATTCCATGGATTCTCTATTCTCATGATTCAACTATTTAAGTCGCCAAGCAATTAACCTTGCGGAGATTGGGGAGAAATCTGCACGTGTTTTTGATATGGTGTTGTTAGGATTTCAAGAATTGAGGCAAAGAGCTATTCATGAGGAAAGTATTGAAAATGCATCTCAATTTTGCCCTATGGGTAATGAAAGTAACTTGGGAATAGTTATGACAACAAGTGAAATAAATCAAGATTGTTCAGCAAGTAATGTTATACTGCAAAATCCATTACTAACAACAACAAAGGTCCGCTCTTCGACCACAAGAATCAAATCACCAGCACAGAAGCTGCTGCGGAAGCTTGTTACGTGTGGTATGTGCAACAAAGTAGGATATAATTCATGTACTTGTTCATTGTCAAAAAGTAGTGATTCACAGCATGCAGGGGTAAGATATTGATTATTTTGTACTTGTACTCTCTTTGTCTACCTTTTTCTTACTTCACTAGTTGTACAACAAGTTCTTTTGTTTTCTAACTTACTTTACATATTTCAATAATAGATGCCATGCACACAGATCAATCATCGAATGCTACGATTCAATATTATAGTAGTGCCTTTTAGGTAAGCTTTTATTATTATGGTGCTCTTCCTAATGGCATACGTGCAAGCTAGTTAGATATATTTTGTTTCATATAATCATTTCTTTTATATATATCAATGATTTATTCTGGCCATGAAATTTGGAGTTCCTTATTGATGATTTCTTTTATTATTTACTTGCAGTTTGATGCAACCACAACATTTTGTTACCACCTTTGTGGATGAGTACCATTTTTGTTATGGAACTACTCATTGGTATAGCCAACTCAGCATCCAATCCTCTCGCTAAAGAGGGAGCAACACAAAGCAACAAACATGGGATATTTTTTAGTACTTTTTTTAGCACATGGTCCCCCCATTTTTTGTATATTAACTTCTTGTTTATATTTTGGATGTAAAGCATTTTTTTAGCACCTTTACGGGTTTTTGTATAGAACCACCAAGCTTAGAAATCCAAATGATGAATGGAGTATTTTTGGGGCCCCTTTATGGATTATGGGTCAATAGAGTATTTGACTAATGCTGAGAATGGTGAAGAAACTTTATGAATGTACTTGTGCACAAATCTTTTCTTATTTATTGAAAATCAACAAATATGAAAATGTGACTTTTAACAACAATACAACAATGTATTACACAATATAGCATGAGAGAGAGAGAGAAAGAGAGAGAGATTGTAAGGTATTTCACATTTTTAATTGATTCTAATCTGAATAGTGATCATCTTTGCATCGCTGACTTGATGAGCTTATGGGTTGTCTAATTGTATAAAAACTAGAAAATCAGGTGCCCAATTTGTGAGGTTTTGCGTTGTCTATACATGAACCCTATCTCTCTCATTTCCCCCTGGCTGAAATTTCAAGAAAGCCAAAAGATTCCATGCAAGTCTATAAAGAAATGCTTATGATGAAATGTACACCAGACACATGCACTTATGTATCGCTTGTAAGAGCATGTGCGCACGAAAAAAATACTAATGTCATTTACAAGCCCTTGAAAAGGTGGTACATCAAGATAGAAAAGTTCATATAAACCCATCTATACGAAATTACAATTTACATCCTTACCCACAAATAAATTGCTCTATATAAAAACCTATAGTCATTTACAAGCCCTTGAAAAGGCAGTACATCAAGATAGAAATGTTCCCATAAATCTATCTATAGGAAATTGCAATGTAGATCCTTACCCACAAATAGATTGCTCTATATAAAAACTTGCAATCTTTTGTTGCTTGTTTACATTCAAAACAAGAAGTTAAGATACAAGAAATGGGGATCATATGGTGAAAAATGTGCCCAAAACAAATCGCTTGTTTGTTGCCTTGTGTTGCTCCCTCTTTAGTGAGAGCGTCGCATGTTGAGTTGGGATCTCCCAATAAGTAGCTCAATAACAAAAAGGGGGATCCATCCGAAAGGGTTGGAACAAAATGTTGCGGTTGTATCAAACTGCATTTAAAGAATAAATATCATAAACAATTGGCAAACTCTATCAATTCAACCATAAAAACACATATACTTCAAAAGACAAATTATTTGAGCTGCGAAAATAATTTGCTAATGTGAAACAAATTGTTAATATGAAACTGAATTACCATGAAAACAATTTACAAGGAATGTGATCTCAAGCTTGTTTTTTCTCATGTAATCATTTTCTTATGTTTGGTAACTTACTTTTGGGGTGCACATGCAAGAGCAATCGTTTCACTATGACATTGTAACTTCTCGTGCTTAAACACAGATAAAAAGACATAATTTGTAATCTCTTTGGCTACAAAAAATGAAGCAGTGATTGCCCATATGTCAAAAGAAATGATCTTTTGATCAAATCCAAAAGATTTGAAGCAATTGTGGCGTCTGCAAATTCCACTCTCACTCTAGATCCCTATAACAAAACAATTAACATCAAAAAATTTATAAAAAACTAGCAAATTAGCAATAAATAAGATCAAATTATGAAAAAGTAAGTGGAATAAATAGCAACAGCTCATAATTTGATTCTATTTAGCAGCAGCCCATCATTAACTTCAAATTAGCTAAAATCCCAAAAAAGAAAAGAAAAAAGAAAGTATCAAACCATTTAACCCACCACTCTTCCTCTAGATCCCTGTAACAAACCCAATAGCATCAAATTCTTTTCATAACTAGCACTACTGGATCAAATTACTTGCTTCTTAATTTGAGCTAAACTTTGAATATTTTTTACTTGCTCCTTAATTTATGTAGTATGAGTTAACCACTACTTTCTGTTGTCATATGGTTTGTGCAATGGATATACTTTAATACGCAATGAATACATTTTGTTCCCTTTGTGAAATTGGGATGCAGGTTTAGACATCTGAACCAGCGAAGATGTCATCAGCTTCTATAAACATTGGAGAATATCCACACGTACCTGTCCGCGGTTCGACATACCATGTAACTTAGGTACGTCAAGCTCCTCATCCAACCCTCTAAGAATGTATTATCGGTGTCCAAACTGTACTTTCTTTCAATGGTGCGATGAGTATGTGGAAGGGATGAACTACAATGTAAACTTCAAGCATTGTAATGTACAACAAAGAAATCAGTCACAAGAGCATCTTATGTTCAAGCCTGAACCGATGGTCATTCAACAACAAATTATTGATGTCATATGGCGAATGCAACAATTTCTATTTTTCTTGTGTGTAATGAATGCATTTGTTTTTGTGCTACTTTTTTCAGAAGTGTTTTATATGACTAGAGAGTTGGTCTCACAACTCTATGAAACAGTTATTGTTGTTGATATTAGGTTGATCAATGGCTTAAATTGTAACTTCTATTTCGTTAGCATTTAAAGAAGTGGGTGGCTTGTTAATTGATTGAGTTATTTTATACCAGCTTGTCTTGTTTGAATGTCAGATGGATACTAATCTCAGATTAAGTACATACGTGGGGTTTGTTTAGCTAGGGGTTTGTTTAGCTATGTATGTGATATTTTCCGCAAGCGTTATGTCTAGTGTTGTTAATAAATAACTTGAGACTGAAAACTGAAAATTGGAAGATTTAAACTGAAAACCTGTAAATCGAAGAATTCAGAGATAGGACTAGTATGACAATGATGGGGCTCTCAACACATTCTCCATGACTCACCCTCGCATCCCTTTGGAACACCCCAGCACATTCGTTGAGGATGACTCTAAATGCCATCCTCTTCAACCAGGCATCTGGTCTCTTCCCAGAAATTATTTTTTAGATTTGCTAATTACTGATGGAGATTAAGAAAG